AGGGAGAGGCCGGGTTCCATCAGCAAAAAAAAAAAAAAAAAAGGCCTGACAACCCCTTATAACGTTTTTTCTTTATTTTTCTCTTTTATGTGGACAGGGAGCCTTACGTTGATTATATTTACCCTCAAATCTCTTTTCGAAATGCTTTTTAAGTTTCAGCATACTCCCGCGCTTAATGAAATGGTTTCCCCCAGCATCCCCAGCCGGTGCGGTCTGAACCATTGGGAACTTCCCCGAGGGGGGCACCGGAATAGGGGCGGCGGAAAAGGGTAGTTGTCGGGCAGCGGCCCCTGCTTCCCCGTCAGACCTCGGAGTTGCGGTGCTCGGACTGTGTTCCTGGGCTTGCGGGAGCTGGCGAGGCTCGGCTCTCCTCGCGGTGCAGGACGCGCTCGGACGGCGCCTGCACCCCCACCGCAGGGCTGGGTGGTGTTACGGCCCAGAGAGTCACGCGCCTGGGTCTCGGCGGGGATGTGGGGCCGCGAGTGAGTGTGGTAACTCTTGGTTTTGCCAGCTCCCCGAGAGCCCGAACCGGGGCTTGAGAGCCTCGCCACCCCGGCTGACGTTCCGGCCGTGGGCTCGGGGGCTCTGTGTGTGATCCCGCCTGTCTGGGACCCGCAGCGACCACCTACCCAGCGCAGTCAGGGGCGGGGCTGAGACCCGGAGCGGGACCCCGGCTGCCGAGTCCAGGTGTCCCGCGGGTCTCGATTCGGGGAGCAGGTCGGCGGGGGTCTGAGGGTTTGGCGGAGGGGCACGTCCGAGTTTGCGTTGGTCCCAGGTGGACCAGTAATAGGGGAGGGTTTAGGGCCAGAGTCCAGGGCGTCGCCGAGACCCTGAGATTTGAAGATAGGTTGGGGGCACGCCCATTAACCAAGTTTCTGGGGATGAGCACTGTGACCTGGGTTCAAACCCCGGGTTAGGGTCGTTGATTTAGTCTCATTTGATCTTGCCATGAAACGGGACTGTTTCCCTTTCCTTCTCCCAGGTTTTGTCTTCGTTTTGGAGGAGAGGGTGTGTGTCATCCTCTTCTCTCAGTTTGGCGTTCAGGAGGGTCCTCTGATGAGCTAATAGGGTAGCACCGTGTCCTCCAGGGAGGGTGGAAGACCGCGCTTCTCTCCAGTGGAGAGTACTGTCAGACGCGTCCTTGTCACCTGGAAAGAATGGATTGGCTTGTGGATTGAAGTCCCAGGTGTGGTCAGCAGCAGTCTCTTCAGATGGGGAGGCAGGGCAAGGAGGAACTTGCTGGAAGTAGGTTCTGGCTCTCCAGGCTTTGGCCACAACCAGTTTAGTGCCAGATTATCACCGTGGTCATCAAGTAATTGAGTAATAGTGGCAGGTGACACTGTGTTTGCCCTTCTAGTGTCCTATGTCAGGGAGCTCTGTGAATGGAAATCCAGGGAAACGGTGGAAATAGAGCCACAGTGAGAGTGGGTCTGAGCTGGCAGTCATCCCCTGCAGAACTTTTCACCCTGGGCTTGTTGGGATCCCAGCTGCTGACTTAATGAGGCTCCCCAGTGGGAGACTAGTTCTAGAAGCTGTGTGTCCACTGCTGGTTAAGATCTGTTATAGTGCCTTGTTTATTTACAGTGCCCTTACTTAGTGGCCTCTAATTCTCCGCGGTGCTATGAGAAGAGCATAGGAAGTAGGGGTGAAATGGGCCAGGGTCAGGGTGCACCACGGGTGGTGGTGAGGTCACTGTCCAGGTCTGGGACTCAGCTATTGTGGGAGGAGGACATGGACAGACACTCTACCACATCAGGGAACTTGAATACTGTCTTTGGGTGTGATGATGAAGAGACTGTCACCCAGGGGATTTCGGGTTCCTCTGTGGGTTCTGGAAAGCTTGCTGGAAACAGACTCGTAAGACATATTCAAATCAGTTTGTTTTCTTAAGCAAACACCTCCTAGAGATTGGGATTGACCAGTGAGTAAAGAATGACCTCACGCTGCCCAGAATTCTGATTCCATGTGTAATGCGAATCTTGAGAGGCGTCTGTTTCTCAGCTCTTGGGTGGTATTCAGAGAGGTCTAGTAACATTTGGTGTCACCTGGCTGGTGAGGGCAGGCTCCAGTGACCGCAAAACTAAATGTTCTCTAGGGCATCTCCCTCTCTTTCAGGGGCTGCCTGGGTCTCTGGCGTGCGTGATCCATGGAGTCAGAGTCGGAGCTCTTGTCTGACAAGTGCTTTTTTCTTTTTCTTTCTTTTTTTTTTTGAGACAGAATCTCACTCTGTCACGCAGGCTGGAGTGCAGTGGTGCGATCTCGGCTCACTGCCACCTCTGCTTCCAAGTTCAAGTGATTCTCCTGCCTCAGCCTCCTGAGTAACTGGCACTATAGGCATGCGCCACAAGGCCTGGCTAATTTTTATATTTTGTATTTTGTATTTTTTGAAATGGAGTTTTGCTCTTGTTGCCCAGGCTGGAGTGCAGTGGTGCAATCTTGGCTCACTACAACCTCCGTCTCCCAGGTTCAAGCAGTTCTCCTACCTCAGCCTCCCAAGTAGCTGGGATTACAGGCACCCACCAGCATGCCTGGCAAATTTCTGTATTTCTAGTAGAGATGGGGTTTCAGCATGTTGGCCAGGCTGGTCTCGAACTCCTGACCTCATGGTCTGCCTGCCATGGCCTCCCAAAATGCTGGGTTTACAAGCATGAGCCGCCTCACCCGGCAATTTTTGTATTTTTAGTAGATACAGGGTTTCACCATGTTGACCTGGCTGGTCATGAACTCCTGACATCAGGTGATCCCCCCATTGGCCTCCCAAAGTGCTGGGATTACCGGCTTAAACCACCGAGCCTAGCGAGTGCTTTTCATTAAAAGGAAAAACGAATAAGAGTAGCCTATGTTTTGACCTGACATGGTTGCTCACGCCTGTAATCCCAGCACTTTGGGAGGCTGAGGTGGGAGAATTACCTGAGGTCAGGAGTTCAAGACCAGCCTGGCCAACATGGCGAAACCCCATCTCTACTAAAAATACAAAAATTGGCTGGGCCTGGTGGCGCGTGGCTCTAATTCCAGCTACTCGGGAGGCTGAGACAGGAGAATCACTTAAACCCAG